GGATGTGGAAGGCTTGAAATTGGCAATGGAAGCAGGAGTCAAGGCAGCTCTATCAAGATGGTTTTCTGCTGTTTATATAACTGGTATTGGAATTGAAATTGAAATTGGAATTGGGCTTATAATTTAAATGTTCTTCCTTTTGTCAGAAAGTTTTCCTGCGTCTGTGTTAGTATACTAGTTTCAACTTGCATTTGCAGCATGTTGTCCTTTTCTTTCTCGTAGTTATTCAAGATCGATTTTAATGACTTCTAAGAAGATTCAGTTGCTAATGCTTGCGTTTATAGATGGTAAAACACTAAAACTCGAGACAAAATCTTCAAGTAGTGTTGCTATCAGCTTAATGGGCTTAATTGGACTCGAAGCTTATTTGGTCAACTATACATGACTGTTTGGTAGTGGTTTAATCATATAGAAAGTGGCTTATTCAGTAAGTTTTTAAGAGGAAACTTTATGCATAGAGTTGAGTTTTTCCAAACCTGCTTCTCTCAATATAAAAACATGCTCCTTCCATCTATGCAAAAACAGTTTCTATGAACAGATTAATTCTTTATTCATACGAGATTTAATGGAAAATTATTTGTAAAATATGATAAGAGTTTAGGATCGCTCTGATGAACAAAAAGTTGTCACTGGTCACCAGGCCTGAGACCCATCTGTTCCTGATGATGTTGTTGGTGTTGCCGAACTGCAACCATTGCGGTTGTTTATTTTGGATATGAAACGGCGGTTTCTATCCACCACCGTTGCTGTGGAGTGGTGGTTGGTGCATGAAAATATCTGCCTGCATTACCGAGGAAGTAAGAAGATTAGAATCTAGAATATGATTGTGTTTGTAATGAGAGAAGTAAATTGCAACTCACCTGAGGAGTTGATGTGTTTTGGAGACAGATTGGTACCCATATCACTTCAATTCTCAACCCATATCCATCTCCAAATATATAATTACATACTCTTGATTTCTGTTTTTTTAGAATTTTGGGTTGTTTTTGTTTGATTTTCCTGCTATTTTGATTGGTGGGGGTTAGATTTTTCATAGGTGTGATTCTATGATGTTTGTGTGTGCAATTTTCTGGAAAACATGAACATGTGTCAAGGTCAGGGTACAGAGTCTATATTGGAATCCACGATGGAGATGGAGATGGAGTTAGAGGCGCAATTGCAATTATTTTTACATATATGTACATTTAAAATTGCTTTAACAAAAGAAAGTGGAAAATGACCAAACTATCCTAACACATGGACATCTATATCAAACATTAGTGGGAGGGATGAAAACCAAAACACACAACTGTTCCTTTCTAATAAATGGATTGTATGGTCAAATCCCCAAAAACAAATCTTCAAAACACGAGGGACAATTTTGTAATTTACTCCATATATAATTAGTCAAATGATTCAATGCTATATATATTTTTCTCCATATTAACATAGATGTCAACTCAAGGAAAACGAGAACAAATAAATTCATTTAACCATCCATTTATCTTTTATCCAACGCTTATAAATACAAGGTAACTTGTATGGAAAAACAACCTACTTTAACTTGATTTTTATTTTGAGTAACGTACTTTTAAAACTTTTATTTTGGTACTTAAGATATAAAGTTTTAAACATTTAAGTATCCGGGTAACTGGTTGAAATATTAGCCGGTCATCATGCTGATATGGCTATCCAACTCAGTGTTATTTGCTAACGTGGTTAGTGACATGGATTTTTTTTAATCTAAAATTAGTCTTCAACCGATTATCCATGTACTTAAATGTTTAAAACTTTACATCTTAGATACCAAAATAAGAATCAAGTTAAAGTACGTCATTTTTTCATGCAATTTGTCCATAAAATAATAGAAATGATTAAATTCTATCAAAACTGAACCAACTATCACAAAAATTGTTACATTCGAATTTGAATAATCTATTTTAAATCCAACCACCAATAATTCTTTTTCTATTATCTCTTAGCCTTCCTCTATAAAAACCAATAATGCACAATATTTACCTCCACTCAAAGAATTCCAAATAGGATGTCTTATTTCTTATGTTTTCTTGGTATTTCTTTAAATATTGGGGTGGGGCTAAATACATCCCAATATATTTGCTAAATGCCTACTAATTTTCTTCGTATACATATCATTAAGACATATTTTTTATATTTTTAATGTATAATTTGACCTAATTCTAACTTAAATGAGGTGCATATAGTAATCCTGTAAAAGCATCTCCAATACAAGGTTTTTATAAGCAAAAAGTGCAAATTCTTGAAACAAGCGTCATTAAAGAGAGTTCTTATAAGAATCTCACATCTTTTAAGGTCTTGTACAAGAACCTTGATTTTTACCTTGAACTTGATGTAAAATGACATTTTTATATATTTTATTTGACTTTATAAATCTATTGATCTTGAAAAAAAATACATGGAACCAACAAAATACATTCTTATCAATTACGAATTTTTATACAGTTTTTTAATCTTATAGGATAAAAATGATATGACAAAACAAAGTTTGCTTCCGAGATGTAAAATCTTTTCCATAAATTTTCAATCTTTGACTTATTTTGTTTTTGTGTTTTCTTGATTTGCAATTAAAAATCAAGATTTATGTGACCCATGTCCAAATCAATAAAAATCTCTTTTAAAATATTCAAATCAATTATTAAAGAAGGATTTAATACCAAACATGGGAAAAGGTGAAATCTTTTTGCTGGGATTGACCTGATCTGATCGAATCAGAGGTTAATGGCGGCAGTCAAAAAAAAGGTAGAACAAGGTTAAGCTGAATGAATCAAGATTGCAGTTGTTGGGTGGTCTGGATCAGAGATCTGAAAGTCAGAGATACTCTTCCCCCTTTTAAAGCTTTCGTCTTTTCTAATGCTCCGCCACAACTCCATTTCTATCATCATCATCATCATCATCATCATCTCCATCGTTTTCTGCACATACCCATCATCTTCCATAACCATTCTTGAATCCTAAAAGAAATGACAGCAAATCTTGGATCCATGTCGCGTAATTTTGCAGATAAAAGCAAAGAAAGATTGTTATCTCGAAAGGGTTATTCGGAATTAGGTCTTTTTTCTGAATCTTACACTAATATCAACAACGAAGATGTTTCTTTTTTGGGTAGAATCAAGAAATGGTGGTCCAATCTTAGACTGTTTCTTGTTAATGCTTACGAAATGGGTCGCTCCGACCCGAGACAGTTCATCTTTGCTGCTAAATCGGGTCTGGCACTCGCCATTGTTTCTGTTCTTATATTCTTTAAAGAACCTCTTAACTATATAAGCCAATATTCCATCTGGGCAATCCTCACTGTAATCGTCGTCTTCGAGTTCAGCATAGGTAACCCTTTACACCATTTTCAACATCTATGCTTTCTTATCTCCTTTTATATATACACATATATATATATGTATATATATATATATATATATGTATAGAATCTGTGATCAAGTTAACATCTTTATGATCTGATTAGGGGCAACACTTAGCAAAGGATTTAATCGAGCTTTAGGGACATTTTCGGCTGGTGTTCTTGCATTGATTATTGCTCAAATATCCATGTGGGCTGGAGAATGGCAAGAGGTTGTGATTGTGGTCAGCATCTTTGTAGCAGGTCATCACCATTGATATATATATATATGTGTGTGTGTGTGTGTGTATGTATGTCCCTTTTGGTAAATTGATTTAAAGTCCCATTCTCTAAACTGAACCTTGATTCTGTTTTCAGGTTCAATTTCAAGTTATGTGAAACTCTACCCATCGATGAAGCCATACGAATACGGGTTCAGGGTCTTTATGTTGACATTTTGTATAGTACTCGTATCCGGGACATCGCATTTTGTTCAGACAGCAGTTTCCCGATTGCTGTTAATTGGAGTTGGGGCTGGTGTGTGTTTGATTGTAAATATATGTGTTTATCCCATTTGGGCCGGCGAAGATCTGCATAAATTGGTTGTAAAGAATTTTAAGGGCGTCGCTGCTTCGTTGGAAGGTAAGACCGAAACAATAACCACTACACCAATCGGTTTTATAGGTGATTAGATGTCTTAATAAACTGTTTTATAGGACTTATAGGATCAAACAATTTTCCCATATAAAGTTTTTAAGACACTTTTGAAATAAAACGTCCTAGTAGTCTTTTTATACGACATCATTTGAAAAAAGGTGACTATCAAGTGTCTTATAAAAAGATGTGTTCATACAACACTTCTTAAAGTTGCCCTATGAAAAATAAGAAGCTAATGTTGTAACACCTTTATATATGACTCGTAATTGTTTGGTCTTACGAAGCAGTTTGTTAGGAGATTTGGTGCTGTTTGGTTGGTTTTCCATTAAGTCTTGTATGGATAAAATTGTTTGTGGATTAATCTATAGATAGGGAAGATTTTGTTTGGAAGAGTTTTTTCAAAAAAAAGTTGGCTTTCTGCATAAAACCCCCTCCTGAAAGCTTATTGAATAAATCACTTTCTATATCATTAAGCCATTAACAAACAGTCATGTATAGCTGACAAAATAAGTTGCGAGTCTGATTAAGCTCATTTTGCTGCCAACAAATGGACCCAAACATATTTGGTGTCCTGTAAAGCTGATTTTGTTTTAGTGAACCCTTTGTATCTTGGGTTGCATCAGTCTTTCCTTGTTAGTCTTGAAGCACGATTAACCCCTTCAAACTGGTCTTGCAGGATGTGTTAATAGTTACCTTCGGCATGTCGAATACGAAAGAATACCTTCAAAGATTCTTGTATATCAGGCTTCAGATGATCCTCTATACAGTGGATATAGATCAGCAGTACAGTCTACAAGTCAAGAAGATGCTCTAGTATGAGTTCTTTCTTTTCTATCTACTGTTTTGCTCTTCATTAGTCGGGTTTTCGCAGAAACAGACGTTTCTACTGTTGAGGTAGAGGTCAGATGTGCGTACATCTAACCCTCCTAGACCCCACCTCTGGGTAGGATATACGTTTGGTTTGGTTTTAGTCCAGTCGAACATGTCATTAGCCAACAAGTTCAATATTGTTTTGCAGTTGGGGTTCGCGGTTTGGGAACCACCTCACGGACGCTACAAGATGTTGAGATATCCGTGGAGTCATTATGTTAAAGTTAGTGGTGCATTAAGGCACTGTGCTTTTATGGTCATGGCAATGCACGGTTGTATACTTGCGGAAATACAGGTAAGTCGTGTGTCGGTTTTCTTGTTCTCATTTGCATTCAATGTGAGAATGTGTGGAACCCTGTTACATCCTCTGGGTTCCAACATTATGTCCTCTAGCGGAAAGGGCAGTCACGTATAACGAGATCAAAAGCTAATATGATATTTTATTATAAAAGCATCCTGGGATACCCAAGTACCTTCTAACATCGAATTGTAACACCCTTATTTGGTCCTATAAATTTAAATTCTATAAATCAGTCTACAACATTTAGGGGCTGTTTGGCTGGTTTTTCATTAAGTACTGTATCAATAAAGTTGTCTGTGTAGATTAATCTATCTGTATAGATTTAGAAGGTTTTTGTTTGGGAGGGTTTTTTCATGGATTGAAGGAACGTGTTTTTTAATTGCGAATGGCAGGTTTCGGAAAAACTTGGTTTTCTGCATAAATAAGCAACTTTTTATATCATTAAACCACTACTAAACAGTTATGTATAGCTGACCGAATAAGCTGTGAGTCCCATTAAGCTACTAACAAAGGGGCCCTTAGATATCTTTGGCTTCCTACTGTGCCCATTTTGTTGCCAAATGGATGATGCCTGAAATCTTGATTTTACCTTGCTGATAAAAGATTTTGATCTGAAATCTTTGTTTTTCGATAGGCAGCAGCAGAACTGAGAAATATGTTCAAGAACGAGATCCAGAAGGTAGGTACCGAAGGTGCGAAAGTATTGCGCGAACTGGGAAGGAAAGTCGAAAAAATGGAAAGATTAAGCCCCGATGTCGATTTACTCGAGAAAGTGCACGAGGCTGCCGAGGAACTGCAAATGATGATCGACCAAAAATCTTACCATCTCGTCAACTCGGAGAAATGGGCAGCAGCCGGAAAACAACTGAAAGAGTTTGAAGATGCTGATCGTCTTCAAGAACTAAAAGAAGACGAAATCAAACCCAACGTCATCAACTCCCTAAGCGAAGCAAACCTGAAACCACCTCTTCCCTTCAAAAACTTAAATATGTCAACCCATCCTTCGATGGTCCACTGGGGCTCGTCCGAAGATGTGCTAAAGCAACAGACCCACTGGCCTTCACGGCTCTCGATTCTTGGGGACACGATTCTGAATGAACGGGAAGTACGGACTCATGAAAGTGCAAGTGCTTTGTCTCTAGCCACTTTCACATCGTTACTGATAGAGTTTGTGGCTCGACTTCAGAATCTTTTAAGCTCCTTTGAAGAGCTTAGTGAAAAGGCCAAGTTTTCTGAACCTGTGAACCCTCTTGAAGCAAAAGAGGAAGTGGGTATTTGGACAAGATTGCTAAAGTGTATCGGCATCAAGGATTAACGCGGTACATGTGATCGCTTTAACGTTATCTTTCTTGGTTTCGGGTCCTCGTTTTGAAGAATTTGTATGTTATATGGTTTTCTTTTTGTGCGCGAGCGGATTACAGTACATTTTGGTGTGTCTTGTCATTTACCAAAGGACCTTTCATCTAATGGTATCAGGTCCAAGAGGTCGGGGTTCAAATTTCACCAAAAGTGAGAAGGATTCTAGTTTATTTGGTACATTTACAGTATATAAATATTATTATATACTTGAAAAGAAGTTTAGAGGAAATGAAACTTATTTTATACATTTATTTTTTAAGCATGCATATTCAAATTCAATAATTTTATATACACCAAATTTCTTGAGAATTTGTTTTTTTATTAACTTGGTTATCCAACCTCTTATGCAAGCCGACTAATCTCAGGACAACCATCTGCTTTGCAGATAACCTAGAATCACTACATTTAAACCTCCATGCCACAAGATCATTATTTCTTCTTGGATTTGAAACCTTTAGACAGATTTAATCTTTGGAGTCCAAACTCAAATCAATCAGACACCACCATTGTAGTTGAGAATTTGTTCTTTGTATCCAACACCAATCGGAACAAAGTCACCATAATGACCCTTCATTCCAACCGGCATTTATAATGAATATGGAATTATTATTCATTTTGAAACACATTCACGATGAATGACACGTCTATATTCTTCATTAATCATACATACATTCATAATGAATAACACCTAAGATGGGTAGTTAAATTTGTTGGATAGACTTGACTGTGTGTGCCCAGATTGAGGCCTTCCAAACAAGAGGTAGAAACCATTAACCAAACCACATTCATGACCTTTAACAATCAAGAAACAATCGGCAGCTGAACCAATAATACCAAAATTTCATTCATTGAACAATTTATATCCTTACTAGAGTAAGCCCAAAATGCTAAATGCATCCATGTCTTCTACAGATTTCATCAGGTTCACAAAAACAAATAGAAATTTAAACTCAACACTCGAATCAAACATCTTGGAAACCTATTGCTTTCATCTCGTCTTTCAACTGTCACCAGGGAGAGACTTGATGATATCGGAATCACCTGTTTAAATCACAAAATCAAAATATGTCAAAAGGGGCGGTTATTAACTCGAAGAAAGGGCAGCATCCGTATCTAAAAGATTTTGATTGATCATTACCTGCATCGATGATGGAAAGGCACGACACACGGAAATACTTTCCACATGCTGTCCCAAGATCCACGTTATCTGACCATAAATAAAAGCAAACATCAACAAGGGCAGAAAATTAAGGTTTCAGTAATTATGATCAGTTAGAAAGAACAAGCCCAGCAAACAAGTGGATTAAACCTAACAAGAGCCATTTAAGCATCATCTAAAAAACTATATTCCGCTCTATGGGTCTGTTTGTTAGCAGCTTAATGAGCTTAATCAAACTCACAGCTTATTCCATCAGCTATACATGACTATTAGACAGTGGCTTAATGATATAGAAAGTGCTTATTCAGTAAATTCCTAGAGGGGAATTATATGTAGAAAGCCATGTTTTTTCCAAACCTCCGCATCTAATTAAAAAATATGCTCATTCCATCTATGAAAAAACTCCCCCAAACAAAAACCATTATAATACATAGACTAATAGTGCTCACAAGTACATTTATCCATACAGGATTTGATGGGAGAAAAAACAAATAACCCCTAAATTTCGTTGACACCATTAGTGCTCATAAGTGCATTTATCTCACTATTAATGCTGTCAGTCACCATATCCCACCCACACCACATTAACCTTGAGCAAGTAAACCAGTATTAGAAAGAAACATAATGCTTGAAGCTATGCTGTTACAACAGTCAAAATATGAAATCACAGTCAAGACTGATTTTAACAATGGTTATCATGATGATAAAGCAGTCCAAGAATAGAGAATTATATATATATATATATATATGTTTTGAGGAAAACCGCAAAAACATGAAAAACATAGATACACCCTGATAGCTGTTCATCTGGACGGTATGCAATTGTGCATATTGGTAATCAGTAAGAAATTTGTTTGGTATGCACATGTGCATAACATGCACAAAAACCAAGATACAACTTAATTACTTGTAAGCACATGCGCATTCCGTCCAGACGAATAGTTACCAAGATGTTCCTCAGTTTTTCATTTTTTTAAGAGGTTTCCCCTAAAACAAACAAATTATATGTATGCAATAACTATATAGATTTTGATCATCAAAAAATAAACTTAAACTTCAAACAAACAAATCATTAAATCATTAACTTAAGAAGTCTTAATATTGTCGAAGTAAAATGGAACTTATTCTAGGTTCAAACTCCGGAATAAAAGCTCACAAAATAGTTGCTCAACACCAAAACACCACCTATAAATAATAGTGGTTATATGGCCGCTATTTTGGCGTTCAAAATGCAGTCATTTAGCAGTCTATAGCGCCTAGATGCAATTCACAGACAAATAACATAAATCTCTAAACATAACCCAAAAAAAGACAAAAAATACAGATAAGAGATGAAAGGAATAATGAGTTCACATACTTCCATTGTAATGATGAACTCCAACCTTGGCGAGCATAGCATAGTACTCGATTTCAGACTTCCTCAATGGAGGGCAATTGTTAGATATGATGATCAGCTTGCCTGCAGTTTGCATCCAATCAAAATTAATCCAAATTGGCAGGTTCTTTGATGACTAGCTTGAATCTACACATAGATACTCAATGTCTCACAACATTTGATAATTATATCCTTTAAGTGGCTGGTAATTTCACCTTTTAAGCACTATTTACAAAAAGATAAACAACTCTTGATCTATAAATTCCAAACAAAATGCACTTTTACATTCATCATTCATATTTATGGGTGAATGGACACAACTTTTTACCTTTAGAACTCCTAAGAGACTCAAGAACAGTCTTGTATCCAAGAGTAAACTTTCCACTCTTCATGACAAGAGCCAACCTATTGTTGATGCTCTCATGAGTCTTCTTCTGTAATCCCCATAAAAAACCCAGATCGGAATCAATAAACGGAATAATCAAAATACGCATACAGACACAAGTAGGAACAGATATAGATACAAAGATGTGTATTATTACCGTCTTCTTCCCTGACACCATGTTTGCTCCTGGAACAGCGAAAACGTCTCTCTGTGAAGTAAACAACAAAATAATTTTAGGTTGAATTCAAGAATGGTGGATGGGTGTTCAGAATTAGGGTTTGCTTACCCGCGGCGGCGAACAAGATGACTCCTTTTGAGTTGCCGAGTGTGCGAGTGGGCGATGTGAGATATTTAAATGGACCAAATAACAAGTTGAGGGTTAAATTTACATAAAGCCTGTGGGTCAACACTCAAGCCCATCAATAAATTATAATGCTGGCCCATTAAGCTTTCTTGATTTCAGTTTTAGGCCCAACATCATTTGTAAACCCCAAACCCAAACCTTGAATAAAATTGAACAGATAAAATAACCAATTTATCTGTGATGAATTATTTATATATTTTGATTAATTATGTAATTTATTAAATTATAATAAAATAAATAATCTATATAACAAAATATATCATTAAGATTTCAACGAGTGAGTAAAACACACGGAAGACTCAAAAGGATATGAGGAAGGCCCTGCAAACCATTTGGCCGATCAAACTTTCTTCATTAAAAAGCTTTTGTTAGTTTTGTAGAAGCAAATGCCCGAACTATTCACAAAATATGATCATCGGGCTTTAGATGTGTCCTGATTATCGACCTATAGACCAAATTTTATTGAACCAAGCCTAATAAATTGTTCTTGTGCATTTGGGTCATGGATTAAAAGTTTTAGGAACCCTTTAGATCAATTGACCGTCCATCTAATATATATATATATATATATATATATATATATATATATCTTTAAATATATCAAATGTTTTTTAAAATCCCCACCACTCATTCTTAAAACCAGCGTTCTTAATGCTAATGAATCGAACACATTTAGAAAAAGCTCGGGTTTTACATAAAACAACCTAAAAGCTTATCGAATAAGTCACTTTGTATATCATTAAACCCTTACCGAACAACCATGTAGAGCTAACTAAATAAGTTGCAATTCTATCACTAACAGATACAAAGCAAGCACCCTGATTCATTTGTGTACATGAAGAAGAGCACCGTTGCGGCTGGCACAACCAACCATCTATTTGTTCATGAATCCCTGCAATTGCTTCCGTCGCTGATCTGGGGTGGAGGAGGAAAGTTACCGGCTATCTTTTCAAGTAATTTTTGTGTTAGGTGGAAGTTGGTTGTCTGCAACAAACAAACTAGCATCTAACCCCCCAATCGATTTACTTACTCACTTCTCTTCCGGTCACCAACATGCAAATGGGACCACCCACCGGAGAGAATTAGAAAGGTGGCGGATGAAGTTTCTAGAATCATCGAACAATCCAAAGAGTTGCAGGAGTCGGCGACATTCTTACTTTCTGGAACTTGAGAAGTGGAAGCATCTCTCCGACAGCGCGTTCAAACATCAAAATGATCCGTTAAGAAATCCAATTTAGATCCCAATAACGCTCAAAAAGTAATAATCCAGTCATCGCTTCTTCTTAAAGCAACCCTTTGATGCAGCTGCATTTCTAATTCTACCCTGCAAATCTCATGAGGTCAGCTTATTAGTCTTAATCCCCTCACAGAATTCATTCTTGGAAATCAGTGAAATTGATATGGATTTTCTTAATTTACCAGAATAAATGTTGTAATCTGGATTACTTAGTATAGAGTATTTTGTTGAGTTTTGTCGATTGTAGCCGATTTATAATTCTAGTAATCTTGTGTCTATGTTCAATCTTCATACATGGTTGATGATCATTGTTTTGCCTTTTTCTATTTGTATTGCATGAGTTATGACCATTTGCAATCATCTTTATTTGCAGGATACAACTGCATCTCTGTTTCTTTCTTTCCCATCAATACTACTACCGTCGTGTCGTGGATGTTTTTCGGCCTTCCCTGTGCAGCTTTATCAGGTAACGTCTTCATCTATTCATCCCTCCACCTTATCATTTTCCATTAACATGTCATTTGCAGGCGTGGCTGCTCTTTCTCTATGCAGGGTTGTCTTTCAGATAAAATATACGGAGGGTTAATGGAAGCGATGGTCGTCCATGGTGATGTCATGAGATTTTCTTCTGTTCATATTTAAGATTTTCCATTGCATATATATCGTTTTACACATTTCATAAGCTGATAATTTGCCTTCGTGTATGCTTTAGGTGGATTTACCATCTATGACTATGCCACTCAACTCATCAGTCTCACTAGAAATCATAGAACAGCAACCCGACTGTGCCCAGAACCAGAAGCAGGTTAATATGAAGTGTATTTGATGTAAATTTTACGTTGCAAATGTCGTCATCTTTTTTGGTAATCAACCTGTTTGCAGAAAGGTATACGGTTGTTTCCGAAACGGGCAATTATGCAAGGGGTTGTTGCAATGCTGGTACAAGATAGATACCAACAGCAGAGGCCGTATACACGAATTGCACTAACAAAGCTGCTATTAACACCAATGGATTTTTTAGTTGTTTCTCTAAACTTTGATCCTATTGAATTTGATTCTGAAATAATCTGTTTGTATAAACTTGGAAGGTTTTTGTTTATAAGGGTTTTTTCATAGATGAAAGGTAGGTTTGGAAAAAACTGCTTTCTGCATAAAACTCCATTTCAAAGGCGTACTGAATAAGCCCCTCTATATATATATATATATGATTAAGCTACCATAACAACAACCATGGGGGCACCAATTAAAATGCATGGCTATATGGAGATTCAAACGTAGGGGCGATGATTACATTTATGGCGAAATATTTTATTATTAATACAGCAAGGTTTAAGATTCAAAAAGATCTTTCGATGATGACAAAGTTAGAATAAAATATCTTGTTATTCCAAGTTTTTTAATGATATAAAATAAATGTAAATGCCAAGAAACAAAATTATCACAAAAATATTCAAGAGAGAAAATTATTTGGAGTTCACGCAAATGTCTTGCGCATTTGCGTAAAGCCGTAAGCTCGATCTTCATATTAGAGGAAGAAAAGAAAAAAAGATTCAATTTTTTGCGTAAAGATTGATTCTTTTTTCTTCCGGTAATCAATCTTTACGCAAATGCATAAAATATCTGCGTAAAGACCGTTATTTTGGGAAGAGGCTCTAAAAAATGGCTAAAAAGTGAATTTGGTTGATGGGATTGGCTATTTCAATCAATTTCCTATAAAACTAAGGTCCTAAAATGAAAGCAAACAACCCGATATATCTAACACTATAAAGAGATCATGTTAAGGGATACAAGTGAACAAGAAAGTAATTTCTTATAGATTTAAGGTATAGTTTTGCCGAAGGTTTTAGAGAATCCAAATCCGAAAGACCGAGTATGATACCTTAAAAGTAAGAGGAAACCCGTACGAATCTGTTCCCTTTTGGAAGGAGACCAGGCATGGCATATTAGCTTACACTCGAAAAGAATATGCTGCAAGAAGACGGCAAACGTATGAATAAGACAATAGCATTGTTCTTCGTTATATCAACATTTAAAACTATAAAAACCCGTCAGCATCGAAAACAAGCATAAAAAACAACCGCTATCTGTCATCTATTTTCTTATTTTACAATGCCAGCAAAAATATGCACTCATGATCCTTTGTTGATTCTTGTATGTAAATCAATATAAAAGAAAAGCAAATGTCAACAGTTTGGTTTCATGCACAATGAGGAAAGTTACAGATGACGAAAAACAGATTCTGAATGATCAGCCATTGCCGTTCAGCAAGCTTTTAAGCTATGCCGATGGACTGGATTACACTCTAATGGCTCTTGCATCTTTGGGTTCTATTATACATGGTCTTGCCCAGCCACTTGGTTATCTGCTACTCGGGAAAGCCATAGATGCATTCGGTAATAATATAAATGATGATATTGGTATGGTGAAAGCCCTCAAGAAGGTAAGACTACTATACACATCTATACTACAACAAAATTGGCTTTATAGGACGCTAAATATGTCTAAATGTCCTACTATACTATACTGCTTTATAGGACTTAAGTTTATAACACCTTTATATATGATGCACACCTGTTTAGTCCTATAAAACAGTCTATTTTGGTTTCTATTTCCACTCAGGTTATACCGTTTGTATGGTACATGGCCTTTGCTACATTTCCTGCTGGAATTATAGGTAAAACTGTTTTCTGATGATTATTTAGAAAAGCACAGATTATAATCTGAAGATTGACAATGAAATTGCTTACACATGTTTGCTTTGGCATATGCAGAAGTTGGTGGGTGGATGTATGCAAGTGAGAGACAAGTTGCACGGTTAAGACTCGCATATCTGAAAGCAGTTCTTAAACAAGAGATCGGCGCTTTTGACACGGAATTGACAAACGGAAAAATCATCACGGGAATTAGTAATCATATGGGTATCATCCAAGACGCTATTGGCGAGAAGGTAACGGTCTGTCTATGTACAACACTGTACCGATGAATGGTTACTAGAGTGTTTCCATGTGAAAACATGTGGCTTGAATGTATATACGATCAATGGCTATGACCACTTAATGAAATTCTCTCCCTTTACAGTTGGGACATTTCATATCATGCTTCGCAACCTTCTTTACCGGGGTTGTAATAGCTTTTATATCATGCTGGGAGGTGTCGCTGCTCACCTTGTTTGTTGTTCCTATGATTCTCATGATTGGAGCCACTTATACGAAGAAAATGAACTCTATATCAGCCACGAAAACAGCTTACTTGGCAGAAGCCACAGTAATGGTCGAACAGGTAAAACGCTTAGCTTAAGCGTTCCATTCACAAATGAATTCTATTCTGGAAAGTGTTCTCAAATTCCACTTTGATTTCTTGCAGACAATTTCTCAGATCAGAACCGTGTTCGCTTTTGTTGGAGAAAGCTCCGCGATAAAATCTTTCTCAGATTGCATGCAGAGACAGTTAATCATTAGCAAGGGAGAAGCGTTAATCAAAGGAGTTGGAACGGGCGTATTCCAAACAGTGACGTTTTGTTCTTGGGCTCTGATTGTTTGGATTGGAGCTCTTGTTGTTGTAGCCAAAAGAGCTCAAGGAGGGGATGTTATCGCTGCAGTCATGAGCATCCTCTTTGGAGCCATGTAAGAATCAAAGTATACCATTTACTACATTCACACATAGGGTCAGGTTCAGCGGAAAACCGTAAAAAAAATGAAGAACTGAGTAAGACTCTAGTAACCGTTTATCTTGATGGCATGCACGGCACAGGTGTATACAACATAATTTCTGAAGAAATTGTCTAGTATTATATGTGCATAAAAAACCAAGAGTTTCAATTACTTGTATGACATATGGTTCAGATGAATGGTTAGAGGGTGTTTCTCAAATTTTTCATTTTTCTGTCCTCCACCAGATCAATCACGTATGCAGCACCGGACATGCAAATCTTCAATCAAGCAAGAGCTGCAGGAAAAGAAGTGTTTGAGGTGATTGAGAGGAAATCTCTTATAAGTTATGATTCAAAAGGGGCGATTCTTGAAAAGATTAACGGGAACATCGAGATTCGTGGCGTCCATTTTGCTTACCCGTCACGCCAAGAGAAACTGATCCTTCAGGGATTCTCGTTATCCATCCCAGCAGGAAAGGTTGTGGCTCTAGTAGGTAGTAGCGGGTGTGGGAAAAGCACCATCATCTCTCTCGTGCCAAGGTTCTATGATCCTGAAAAAGGTTTGGATCCACCTCCGCGCCATTTTTTGTGCACTTGAATAAGCCTTTATACTGAACAATAACTGATATGGTTTGGTGATGGCCAGGTGAGGTCCTTGTCGACAACCACAATGTCAAGGATCTTGATTTAAAGTTTCTAAGAGAAAATATAGGAGCAGTTTCACAAGAACCGGCGCTCTTTGCGGGCACGATCAAGGACAACATGAAGGTAGGAAAGAAAGATGCAGATGACGAACAGATCCAGATTGCAGCAACTATGGCAAATGCACACGCTTTCATATCCCAACTCCCGAATCAGTACTTAACGGATGTAAGTTGCATTACATTATCAACCCATCAAGGGAAATTTACTAAACCACAAGGGTCATGGGCCTCGTGGCATAATGGTTGAAGCCCGGGGGATGTGGTGGAATATCCCATCTGCCCGGGATTCAATTCCAGGCCTACACAACAATTGTGACCACTGAGTTTCTTCCGGTCACAATTTCCGGGAATTAGTCTAGGCATAGCCTGGAACACCTTTCCAGAAAAAGGGAAATTTGCTAGGTTGATCTAAATAAATCTTTTTGATGATATAAAGGTAGGACAAAGGGGTGTACAATTATCGGGCGGACAGAAACAAAGAATTGCTATTGCAAGAGCCATATTGAAAAATCCTCCAATTCTTTTGCTCGATGAGGCAACGAGTGCACTTGATTCCGCGTCTGAGAAGTTGGTTCAAGATGCACTCGAGAGTGCAATGAAAGGGAGAACAGTCATCTTAATTGCACATAGGATGTCGACCATTGTGAATGCAGATATGATTGTAGTCGTACAAAATGGGCAAGTCACGGAGACAGGAACACACAGTAGCTTGCTACAAACCAGTGAGTTTTACAGCAGCTTATTTAGCATGCAGAACATCAGCGCAGAAGGTGAATCGAGGTTCGTATGAGCTAATGTTCCATCTTCTGAATAGATGTCTGTTTGTATTAATCTGTTTGTACAGATTGAAAATGTCTTTGTTTGGAAGAGTTTTTTTCATAGATGGAATAAACATGTTCTTTTAATTGGAGAGGCGTGTTTGGAAGAAAAAAAACTTGGCTTTTTTCTTCATGAAGCTTCCCCAAAAAGCTTACTGAATAAGCCACTTTCTATATCATTAAGCCACTACCAAACAATCATATATAGCTGACCGAATAAGTTGTGTGGTAACAAATAAGTTCTTAGGTAGCTTTCTGTGATCCAACATGAGTGTAAACTTTGGTCTAACAATATGTTATTTCACAGCTCTGTACATCCCACTAAAGAGACCGAAAGAGTCGATCAACAGGTTGTTGAACAGGTAGAACCAGTTGATAAGCATATAGAATCTAACAAAATCCTCAAAGATGCTCCCAAGCAAGAAGACCAACATGATGGAAGTGTAAAAAAAGATGTCTTTTTCAGAATCTGGTTTGGGTTGAACAACCGGGAGTTTGTAAAGATCGGTGTTGGATCTTGTGCTGCTGCATTTTCCGGCATCTCAAAACCCGTTTTTGGCTTCTTTATCATAACAATAGGAGTTGCATATTATAAGCATGGCGCTAAAGAGAAAGTCGGTTGGTATTCACTGCTCTTCTCGGCTATCGGTTTGCTTTCACTCTTCAGCCACACTTTGCAGCACTACTTTTATGGAGTAATCGGAGAGAAGGCAATGACAAACCTTCGACAAGCTTTGTATTCAGGTACTGCATTCTTACTGTTATGTGTCCTAAATCAAAAAGCGTCATATCTAAAACTGTTACAATAGGTTTATAAGACGTTTTAACAAGTTCTTTTTAGAATGCTTTAAAAAATAAGTGTCCTGTTAACCATTTTATACGACAATAATTGAAAAAGTGTCTCATAGATACAAGTGCCCTATAAAAAGATGGGTTTATAGGATACTTCTCAGAAGAGTACCGTAAAAATAGCTAATAGGACACTTTAATTTAAAAGAGTCCTAAAAAGCTTGTTAAAACGCCTAAAAGTGTCCTATAAACCTATTGTAACGTATTTAGATAGAACCCTTGAAAGTTTGGTCCTATAAACTTATGTTCTATAAAGTACTGTATTAGGACACTTAAACATTCTAAGGGCTTCTTTGTTAGCAGCTTAATGAGATTCGCAACTTATTCGGTTAACTATACATGAATGTTTGGTAGTGACTTAATAATGTATAAAGCCAAGTTTTTTTCAAACATGCCCCTCAATTGAAACACGCTCCTTCCATCTATGAAAAAGCTCTTTCAAACAAAAATCTTCCTAATCAACACAGACAAAATAATCACACAAACATCTTTATCCATATAGGACTTAATGGAAAACCAACCAAACAGCCCTTAAGCGTCGTATAAAACCAATTTTGTTATAGTGCACGATAAAAACGTATATGAAATCGTTTATCTTGTATCTTACAGCTGTACTCCGCAACGAATTAGCATGGTTCGACAAGCCTGAAAACAGTGTCGGTTCCCTTACTTCACGAATCATAAACGAGACTTCCACAGTCAAGACCATAATATCCGATCGTATGGCTGTCATCGTGCAATGCATTTCGTCGATCTTGATAGCAACCATCGTTAGCATGATCGTTAACTGGAGAATGGGTTTGGTAGCTTGGGCGGTGATGCCTTGTCACTTCATAGGCGGTCTTATTCAAGCTAAATCCGCCAAAGGGTTTTCAGGCGACACGGCTGCAGCACATTCAGAACTCGTTTCCCTTGCTTCCGAATCCGCAACAAACATAAAAACCGTTGCTTCTTTCTGTCACGAAGAACACATACTCGAAAGAGCTAAATTGTCTCTAGATGGACCGCTAAGAAAGAGTCGAAAGCAAAGTGTCCATTATGGCTTCATTCAAGGTGTGTCCCTTTGCCTATGGAACATTGCTCATGCCGTTGCTTTATGGTATTCGACCGTTTTGGTTGAAAAAAAGCAAGCGAGTTTCGAAGACGGGATAAGATCATACCAGATTTTCTCGCTTACAGTACCGTCAATCACCGAGCTATGGACTCTAATCCCAACCGTAATATCTGCCATTAACGTATTAACTCCTGTATTTCAAGCTCTCGACCGACAAACCGAGATTGAACCTGACGAACCCGAGAACCCACCTTCTGAAAGGATAAAAGGAGAAATCGAGTTTCGAAATGTCAACTTTACTTATCCATCAAGACCAGAAGTAACGATTCTTGACAATTTCACCTTGCGGATTGAAGCTGGATCGAAGGTGGCTCTAGTGGGACCCAGTGGAGCAGGAAAGTCTTCGGTTTTAGCCCTTTTACTACGATTCTATCTTCCGCTAGGAGGACTGATATTGATCGATGGAAGAGATATAACACGATACAATCTGAGAAATCTAAGGAGACAGATCGGGTTGGTTCAACAAGAACCATTACTGTTCAGTTGCTCGATTAGAGACAACATCTGTTACGGAACAGAAGGATCATCGGAAAGCGAAGTTATAGAAGTCTCGAGAGAAGCAAACATTCACGAGTTTGTAAGCAATTTGCCAGATGGGTATGAGACTGTGGTTGGCGAAAAGGGATGCCAACTTTCCGGGGGGCAAAAGCAGAGAATCGCGATTGCAAGGACCCTGTTAAAGAATCCGGCGATCATGCTGTTGGATGAGGCAACAAGTGCACTTGATGCAGAGTCGGAAAGAGCTGTGGTGAGTGCGATGGAATCGATCAACCGGAATGGAATCAGTCAATCGACACAGATTACAGTTGCGCATAGGCTTTCTACAGTAGTACATTCTGATAAGATAGTTGTGATGGAGAAAGGTAAGGTAGTAGAAATTGGTACACATTCAGCACTTGTAGCAGCATCTGAAGGAATTTATTCAAGATTCTACAGGATTCAGAGCATGAAGTAGAAGTTAGATATAGAGACAGAAGATATATATATATATATATATATATATATATATATATATCATAGAAGGTGAAGCAACTATTGTCACTTTAACAAGTTTATTATATGTAAGTGCTTCTTTTAAGTCAAAACTTTGATATCATTTGTGTTCAGATGTGTAGAGAGTTTTCATATAAGTTTCACATCAAGAAGTGCAGTTTTAGAGCTGGGGAAGAAACAAGTGAACTAATTTGTTAGTAGCTTAACGGGACTCAGCTTATTCCGTCAGCATGACTGTTTGGTAGTGGCTTAATCATATAGAAAGTGGCTTATTCATTAAGGTTCTAGAGGAGAGTTTTATGCAGAAAGCCAAGTAAACATGTCCTTCCATCTATGGAAAAACCCTCTCAAACAAAAGTCTTCTCAATTTATACAAACAGATTAATCTACAAGACAACTTTATTCATACATGACGTAATAAAAAACCAACCAAACAGCCCCTGAAACATCCAAAGATTTTATACCATCTTGTCCTACATACCAAACACACACACTCTTAAAGAAACAGGTTTGTCTATATCTTTCCAATAAAGACAACTAGAATTGAATGCAAGTTTTAGAACCTCTTTGAAAGAATACAATAGGAAATGAACACATACTGGAATTCAATTGCAATTATTGGATAATTTAACAGATTATTCCCATCCATATCTTCAAAAGGACCATATCTTTTAGCAAAAGGATTGATTACCGTCAACGACGACCAGTCCTACACAAAACCCGCCCCCTAGGAATCCAAAGGGGGGCCATATTTTATTGCATAAAAATGAATTTGCTACCAAAACCAGCCTCTTATTATCATCATCATCATCTTCTTCTTCTTCTTCTTGTGCATAATAATCCTACATTTGAATAAATCCTATGTCCACCTACCACCTTTCTTCACCTCCTTGTTCCTGCATAATCAAATCCCACCTCAATCTCAAACTAATTCATTTTATATATATATATATATATATATATAATGGGAATTCTTGGTAAATAAGAACTCGAGATTGCTCCCCAGAGGTCATTGGTTCAAGTCCCTTTAGGACCATTAGAGGGTTTGGCTACCGTTAACTTCAAGGCCCCATGGGATTAGTCGAGGTCAGGTGAGCACTAAAAAGAATCTTTAATACCTTTGAACGTGATCAAGAATGATGAGTCGTGGTCCAGGAGGGATACTTACGTCTCGTAGAGCACTGATTCATGTGATCAAGAAAACGGTCAGTCAGAATAATTAGTAATGCAAGATTTTCGTTAAAACTTACCTGTCAGTAAGAAGCGGCAAAGTGTTATCGCTTAGCAGTCCCTTTTTGAAGTTCTTTTCGTAGTTTTCAAGACCAAGACTAGACAACATGAATCTTGTTTTATTGTACAACACGTCTTCCACCGGGGGTTTTGAGAATTTCTCCCCTACCTGCACGATTATTCTAGTTAACACCAACTTCAAGTACTGCATCGATCAAATATTATTTATATATTAGAATACATGACCTTCTGACAGATTTTGAGGCATTTAGGAAGTGACATTCTTTTGTTAGGCAAAGACGTTCTTAAATCTGTCAGGAGGTCGTGCATTTAATTTTTTTGTTAGAATGTTATTCTGCTAAATAACCCGTCCATGGAATGAGCTCCATCCCATGCTATATCATCTTATAACACTTGTAGGTTTAAACCAAACCAAAAGAACCAAGTAAATCCCACGCAGAGCAGGGTCTAGAGATGGTAAGATGTAGGCAGACCTTTCCACTGTCCATCTTGAGGAACCAATCCATAATAAACAGTCCATTTGTTAGCAGCTTAATGAGACACAGCTTATTCAGTCAGCTATACATGACTATTTGGTAGTGACTTAATGATATTGAAGGTGGCTTATTCACTAAGCTGTCAGGATGGAGCTTTATGCAGAAAGCCATGTTTTTTTTCCAAACCTGTCACCTCCAATTAAAGAACACGTTCCTTCCATCTATGAAAAAACCCTCCCAAACAAAAATCTTCTCAATCTATACAGACATATTAATCCACATAGGACTTAATGAAAAAACAACCAAACAGCCCTCTACCCTAGCAAAGCTCACAAAGACACCTTACACATGGATATGCTCACCTTAAAGAGTCCACCTTGAAGGAGTGCAAAGAAAACGCCAGACGTGATTACATTTGCAGCCTGATTAGGCCCCCCCATGCCGCTAACCAAAGAAAACATGACCCCCGAACCGAAAGCTGCTACCATACTGCAATCATACGTAAATAACAATTACAGCAAAACAAAAATAATTCACACACTCCTCATCTTTGGTGCCTTGACCTCCAGGAAGGTCAAAGGCCCGTATTCGGTAGGCTAGAGACCCTTTTGAGATCTTCTAATACTTCCGTATTAGCTTACCTTGATTGGACATCTTCCTTGCCTCTTAATCTTTTCATGACACACGATATGCCTGCATTCACGCCCGTCATAACAGCAAAATTACGGGCCTGTATGAAGGGCCCTCCTGAAAGAGCCTGTAAAAAAACACTCAGTTTAAGAACACATACCCGTGAGAAGTGTTAGTTCCAACTTCCAATAACATTATTTCAGAGTTCAGGGTCTGTTTGTTAGCAACTTAATGAGCTTAATGGGACTAACAGCTTATTCAGTCACCTATACTCGATTGTTTGGTAGTGGCTTGATATAGAAAGTGATTTATTTCGTAAGCTTCTAAGGGGAAGCTTTATGCAAGAAAGCCAAGTTTGTTTGAAACATGTCCATCCCAATTAAAAGACATGCTCCTTTCATCTATGGAAAACCCGTCCCAAACAAAAATCTTCTCAATCTATATAGACAAATCAACCCACGAGGACAACCTTATCCATACTTGGTTGGTTTTCAATCAAGTCCTTAATGGATAAAGTCTGTCTGTATATATTGGGAAGGTTTTTGTTTGGGTGGGGTTTTCATAGACGGAAGGAGAGTGTTTTTAAATAGGGAGGGGCCGATTTGAAAAAAAAAACTTGGCTTTCTGCATAAAGCTCCCCCTAAAAGCTCACCGAATAATCCACTTTGTATATCGCTGAGCCACTACCAAACAGTCTATAGCTAACGGAATAAGTTGTGAGTCTCCTTAAGCCTATTAAGCTGCTAACAAACCGTATGGAAAACCAACCAAACAACATAGTTGAATTTTGAATTCTTAATAAGGCTATTAATCTCAGACCTAACTATCAAACTGTGATTCTTCCCAACTCAAATATCAATCCATTCCAACAATCTCCATTCTAACAGACCCCAATCCATAATCTCACTATCCATCCACAAAAAGATCAACGTTTATATATACACAAAGACGATTCTAATAATCATAAAAAAAAAAAAAAAATGTCTTGAAATCTTTTATCAAATTCCCAAAACCCTAAACCCCAAGAAAAAATGAACCAAATCGAGATACGAACCTGAGCTTGCTGGAAGGACGCCATAGTCTGTGGATTCAGGGAGGCGCCAGGAGGTGGTGCAGCTGGAAAAGAGGTGGCGACATCGTTGGTGAGTGTACCCATGAAACCACCGATGGCCGCACCCTGAGCTGCCCCAGTGATGGTGACAACGGCGGCCTCAACCGGTAAAGATTGTTGGGCAAGCCAGCCCTTGAACCCATTCTCTAATTCTTTAAACTTGGTTTGCAACTGCGTGATTGGATTTTGCATCAAATCTTTTGGTGCATGAACTACTAACACTTCTTGCTTTCCTTCCACCATTGTTGTTGCTATCAAAAAGACAAAAAGCTTGAAGCTTTTATGTTGTTTCTGTGATTGTAAAGATGAGGAGAAGGTGGGTTTGGTCCTTTCAGATGGATTGGGTTTGCGATGGGAGAATAGCAGATCAATAATAGACGGGTCCTCTAATACCCATGTTCTGTTTTTCCAAAATTTTGAGGTTTTTGTTGATTTTAAGTATAGACAAGTTTGTTATGATTTCCAAGTTTGTGTCTTTATTTTCTATCTCCAACAAAAACCTAACAATCTTATGTCGAAATTGGAAAAATAGCATTATATGTTGATGTAAGATTTAAAAAAGAAACACCACGTTTCTAAATATAAATTTGATCTGTTTTAGGACGTTATTATTGACATATATAATAAATTCATCTATTAGAAAAAATTGAATGTGAGTATTAACATATCTATATATGCATGCAAGTATTTTATTGATTTGGGTCTCTTGGGTGTTGATTATTGGGCGGAACCGACCAATAAAGGTTATATATGTACAAGGTACGTTGAAAGAAATGAAAGTACAATGAGACATATTGGTATAGAAACCGGTAAATTGGCGTTTGAAGATGTATTTGTCTGCGTAGACCCTCTTATCTTGCCATCTTTTATATGCGGGGCGACCAATGCCCCCGCCCCAACTCCCGCCCCCGGTTCTGGTCCTGGCCCAAGACCAGTTGTTGGTTCCATCCTGCATTTCAAATCAAAAAACACTGAGACTTAGATAATGGTCTTGCAAAACAGTCAAGTAAATCTTTAGTGGTCTTGAAAAGATTTTATCTGGAAACCGATAAAAGTAACTCTTGGAGAGATTTTATCTGGGATAGATGAAAGAAGTTAATTACCCGTTGTTGTTGGCATTGGGGCAGAAGATGATGGCGTATTCGTAAGCGTTGCAGGTAAACGTGCTAGTGCCATCATCAAATGCGTAGCTATAAGCTCGTGGACAAGCTCTCTTAAAGATGCTAGAGTAGTAAGATGGCCGGCATGTGTTTGGATTCGCGTATTGCCCGCTGCAACAGTACTGGTCAATCCCGAATGCACCACAAGCACTATTGCAGGCGATCACGCCCCCGCCGCCACGGCCACCTCCACCACCATCCCCTCCCACCACCTGAAGCTCTTTTGGGCAGCCTGTAGACCCCAATTCACATGGTTTCTCTGTTATCTAAATCATTTGAGTCAAGAAAATACATAAAGATTCAAGAATCAAGAAACGAAGACTCACCCATGTTGATATCTGAAGCACATCCGGTGGCATTACAACCACCGGAAGATGAGCGCGGGACAACAATGATCGGGAGATTGTAACCATCCACAAAACTAACATCGTAATAATCCATATTGTTGTACCCTCCGATCGTTATCTCGAAGAGCGATGCAGGCGGGGTTGCACCCATCCCTCCACACTCCATCTTCCCTCCACAATCTGCAGTTTCGCATTTTCCAACACCAGAAGCATCAAAGGAACAACCCGTTCTTGCCCACACTCTTCCAGACCACGCCGGGGTGGTGGGAATCTGCACACTTTGACCTGAATTCAATTGAAACCCGGTGGTCGGAAGTGGAGTGGTTCCTGAACCAGAAAGGGTGGCTGGCCATATCGTGAAAGGACAGTTATTCGTTATGGTGAATACAGAAGCGGATGAACATGAGAAGAAAGACACAAGAAAGATGAAAATGGCGAGCTTGCAGGTTGATATCGTAAGCATATTAGATGTCTGTGGGTTGTCTTGTGTTAAAGAATCAAGAATGGAGTCTTGGATATATATATATATGTATCCGCCATGAAAGCGAAGGTTGCTTCGATGAAAAGGGTTTTAATTGGCTTTGCTTTTTCGCATGAAACGGGTGGCCTTTCTGATAAGTAATTCCTTTCTTTACCAGTTGCATGAGCTGAATTACGAGGGGTTACTGTGTGTTTTCAAAAGGGTGAGCGGAATCATGCATAAAGATGGTTATGGAAAGGGCAATCTAAAGATTCCTATGGGAGACACTATTTGGGGAAAAAAGCAATCAGAAAAAATCCATGCTTTAATTTCAATTCAAGAAATCGAGAATATAAATTCCGAAACGACGTAGTAGCGGTTTGTTTAAACTTTAAAATAGGGCAATGGCCTATGCCTATGCGGTTATGTTCATGAATTATGATGCCAACTTTAACTAACCCCTTTCTTTTAACTACAAAAATACTTTTTTTTTTTTCAAAAAAAAATCATCAATTTCTCCAAAATTTTCATTAAAGCAGGAAGGATGAAAATCCATGTGAACACTATAAAAATCTAGAAAAATTGTTAATAGAAACTAGGAGTGTAAATGATTTGAGTCGAGTTCGAGTATCAATATATTCAACTCGAATTTAATAGGCATGTCTTAAGCTTGAACTCGACTTGAAAACTCACGAGTAGTTAAAAACTAAACTCGATTGCAATTTTTTAAACTCGAACTCGTTTGAAACTCGAATCAAGTTCGAACTCAAACTCGAATCAAATTGAACTCGAACTTGAATAAAGCTGAACTCGAGACAAGCTCATCCATCGAAATTTATGAAATTTTAAGGTGTTCTCTTATAAATCATAAAACTTAAAGATGTTCTCTTAAATTTTAAAAACTTAATCATCAAAAATACAAAGTTACAAGCTTTATTCATCACCCTTTCTTTTTATGACAACTCTTCATCTTTATTTTGTTATATCTCTTTAAATGTAAGACAACTTCACCGATACTTATATAATTTTTTGTTTTTTTAGTTATGCTTTTGAGGAAACAAATTATTTATTAGTTTTTATAGTTAAAAATGCACAATATTGTTCAAATATTTAAAAATGTAAGACATTTTTATTATATTATATATAAAAATTCGAGTACCTCACGAGCTTTTTGAGTCAGATATTGGGTAGCTCGACTCGTTAATATGTCAAGTCGAGTGTTGACCGAGTCGATCTCTATTTCGGTATAGCATCCATCTAGTTTCCTAAAATGAATCGTGAATCTCCTCCTCTTTCACTAATTTTAACCCATGAAAAAATGGTTATCAGTTGGAGGACGTAAGATGATTCTGGTTGTGAATGACTAATTTTTTCAATGTTTTCAATATTAGTTTTGTAATGGGTCCCATCAATTATAACCTAATCCAAAAAATATATACGGGGTCCACATGAATATTTGTGTCTCTCACGTATTTTCGTTAAAGTAATTGGTGAAATTACGGGGGTTTTTTTTTTTTGAAAAAAATATATTTTTAAGTTATTTTTTTTAAATTAAAAAAAATAGAAAGTCGATAACCCAAATTTAAGGGTTGACATCCAAAACCCTAGATTTCATTTTCTTCATACCGCTGATGGTTCAGAAACGTCTCCTGCTGTTCCTCGTCACTATCCTTCACATTTTCTATGAAAATTGGGTCCCTACCCCCTCCTGCGACGTTGTTCCCGGCGTCAGCAATCAAGAAATCCATCAGGGAAAGGTGGAAGATGATCTCAAGGTTATGATGGTCGCCGATTTGCTCTTGTCGGGCCATGAATCCCGATCCGGGTACTTGGATCTACACTTCAAAGACTTCTACTTTTCAAGATTCTTCAGAGTACGTCATTTGTTATTAGATTCTTCACAGCAACCTATGTGAACCATTATATCGCATTGGGTCAGTATCACATTCCATGATTTCCATTCCAATCTGCTTAAAAAATGGCTACCCTTCTCATAATTTTGGATTCGAGTAGCAATTTGGGATCGTGGTTTCAAATTCCCAAATTATATGCTTCTAATAATGTGCAATTCTGTTCCTTTGAAGTATTCGACATTAAGTTTTTTTGTTTTTTGTTTTTGTAAGAGGTGGTTTGAAGATTTATTTCAGTTCTGATGACCGATAAGAAGTGGGCTGAATTCTGAAAAGCAAATCAATAAGACTGTTTTTGTAAACTAATAGATTCTCAATTTTACCCTTTAAAACATTATAATGTTGAATTTATATACATTTATACACTTTTAAGGTTAATCAATGAGAGATGAGTGATTGAGAAATGTCTGCTGCTGAGGGTCTGGAGAATAATAAGAGGCAAACAAGGAGTTGGTGTACCTCCTACCGGGTAAAGTGATGACGGTAAACACAATAGCCTCCGAAAATTTGGCCCAACTTCTTATCGATTCAGACAGGCTGATAAGAGGTTTTTTTTCTTTGAAACAAACAAGGCCTAAAGCTCCATAATCTGATGCCTCTCACTCACATATTGATATTTCAACCAGAAATCATTTGAATTCCTGAAGCCTGATATGCTGATTGTCTTAGGAGATGTGTCTGCTAAAGGATCGGAGCTGAGTAGAAGCAAATGGGCATCTGTTCTACAAGAATTCCACAGCTTATTGGGTCCATTTCTTGATCTACCTTATCATGTTGTTCCTGGAGATAGGGACATTGGCGAATGCAGTCAGCTGAATGATATATCTGTTAATAAGATCACTAGAAGTTTTCCTGGATTGGATTCCGCTGGTTGTGGTGCATTCGATATTGGAAACGTTAACTTCTTTTCACTCAACTCCGTTGCATTGCTATGTGGGGACAATGATCTACGCTTTAGTGTCGAAAAAGCTTTGGAAAGAGAGCACATAGAATTGCAAACGGGAAGCGGAAATGATTCTGCCGGAATCAAGATTCCGCAGTATGACTTTAGCTGGAGAGAAAACGCAATGTCATCTGGATCGGGTCCTGTACTGTTACTTCACTTTCCTTTGCATCAAATAGCAGAAAATAATTGGAGATCTGGGAGCTTGCAGGATAAAGCCGAACCATCAAAAAGAAGGTAGAATGGAATCTATGGGTCTCTCTGGGCTTGTTTGTTGGCAGCTTAATAAGCTTAATGGGACTCACAACTTATTCAATCAGTATGCTTCTAGGGAGGAGCTTTATGCAAAAAGCCAAGTTTTTTTTCCAAGTCTATCACTTCTGATTAAAAAACATGCATTCCATCTATAAAAAACCTTTCCAATCTATACAGACGGATTAAGCAACAAAACAACTTTATCCATATAGGACTTAACGAAAAACCAACCAAACCAACCAAACAAGCCAGAGTATGTACATTATGATCTTTGGGTGTTCCTGATGTTATATCTAACATAAATTAATCATCTTTTTCAGTCAATTTAGGGACGGATCATATGGGTTATCGCAAACTCTTCCACCAAATGCAACTGAATATATCTTTCATGCTCTTAGGCCCAGGTGGAGTTTTGTTTTTGATATACAACCATCTTAAAGATTCTGTCTTTTTGCCTCTTTTTAGGATGTAATGAGGGTTTTTTGTGTTCTACAGGATGGTTTTTAGTGCACACACGCAGACGTTTTCTGATCACACTCACCCAGATGGGATTCGGGAGATAGTTGTTCCTGCCATGTCGTGGGATGCAGGAAAGAAGCCTGCGTTTGTTGCTGTAACATTCAGAAGGAATGGGACTTCGGCTATTGTCAGCCATTGCAAGCTTGCTGGAAGATCTCATGTACTACTCTTTTACATCTCTCTTTTGTTTGTGTTGGTATTAACTGTTCAAACAACTTTAAGAAGTTGATATTATAAACTCGCGTCTCAAGATTGTCCGAAACTGAAGCATTTTGAAAAGTTGGGTTGTTATTTGGTGCATTTTGCTCGTAAAGATGGCATTTATTTATTTCAATATACACACACACTCGATTTGTTCAGAATCTACAAGATGTACTTTAAATTTCAAGAAATATTTACGAGCTCAATGTGTTCGATGGATTCAATAGCTACTCGATGTGCTTTATATTTCAATGATGGTTGATGGTAAGTCACTAGGTCTTGTACGTTAGCAGCTTAATAAGCTTAATGGGGCCCACGGCTTATTCGGTCAACTATACATGACTGTTTGGTAGTTACTTAATGATATAAAAAGTGGTTTATTCATTCAATAAGAGGGGAACTAAATGCAGAAAGCCAAGTTTTTTTCAAATATGCCCTTCCAATTAAAAAACATGTGCTTCACGGCTTATTTGGTCAGCTATACATGACTGTTTGGTAGTTACTTAATGATATAGAAAGTGGTTTATTCAATAAGAGGTGAACTTCATGCAGAAAGCCAAGTTTTTCTCAAACATGCCCTTTCAATTAAAAAACATGTTCATTCCATCTATCAAATAACCTTTCAAACAAAACCTTTTGAATCTACATAGACAAATTAATGTATACAAACATTTGTATTCATATATGATTTAATGAAAAATCAATCAGAACAGTATTTTCCCCATGTCTAAGTAGTAATTCCTCTATGGAGATTGCACTAGTTTCCAAAGGTATAAGAATCTTGAAGATTCTTGTTCATCCATTGGTGGATTTGAGTTTTTAGTATCTTTAATAGCAGTTTGATAGTCGCTCGATATACTTTGTAATTCAATATATATTTAGATCATGTGAGACCAGCCTGTTTTTGTGAGACCTGTGAGACCAACATTTTACACTTGAAACTTCACAGCAAAATGCTGTGAAGGTGACTTTTTAAAACCTTCACAGTGTTTTTGCTGTGAAGGTTCGACTTTTTTTAAACCTTCACAGTGTTTTTGCTGTGAAGGTTCGACTTTTTTTAAACCTTCACATTGTTTTTGCTGTGAAGGTTCGACTTTTTTTAAACCTTCACAGTGTTTTTGCTGTGAAGGTTACGTGTAAAAATGTGGTCTCACGGGTCTCA